CAAATAATATTAATAAAGTAATTGGGCTCTAATTTATCAATTAAATCGACTTAATCTGACCCGAATCAAATTTTCAATTAAATTTCACCGTCGACTCTAAAAATTACGCTAATCACAATGGCGTAATTAATTTCGGGTTCTGTGGCCTGTGGCGATAAGGCTTTCAATTTAAATTTCCAAACGCAGATTTAACTCAAAGCAGATATTTCCTATGTTGGCAGAATTAAAACTTCAAAATCACATATATTCATATAATGGCAAATAAAATCATGCTAAACTTAGATATCATAGGCTGCAAGATAAGGGCCAATTAGATACAAGGAACAGAGGGTATCACAATTCTTACTGTCTAAACATCCTTTCCATATTAAGCTTGGTGTGGCAGCTGCCAGTACGTTTCATGATTAAAACATAGCTCTGCATGTGTACACGCCTATTCTGGAAGAATTGTGGTCTGAGTGTTTCAGGCACCTTTTCTGTGCTAGACGTGGTCTGTTTTGTGTCCGCATACCTTCTTCTAGGTAAAAGTGTGTTCGGCCTATTCACTAACATCCATCTGCATCCATTGCGAATCATACTTTGTCTTGTTTGCATTCAGCATCTTAGGAATCAGTTATCTTTCTCAGTAGATCATTCCCTCACTTTATCATAGCCACCCAATACTCTGTACTCTTTTACGAAACCATAGATTCTGCAAGTGCACACGCTATTCTTCGATAGAATATGTGGTTTGAGGTTCAGCACCTTTTTGTGTTTAAACGTAGTTAATTTGCAATCCTCATCCCTTTATGGTATTTGTGTGAAAGGCACGCTTGTGGTTTGATTATTTCATTATATACACTACGTTGTTATATCATTTGTATGATTTCGTTACAATTGTGTATCATTATGCATTCTGCCCTGAACTACGCTGGTTTATTTCCTTACAATGGGATACACGTAGGCAACCCTCGGGGTTCAACAACTGTATCTGCAATTTGTTTGTTTGCCCAACTCCTTACTGGCCTTGTCAAATAGGTCATGCTTTGAGCTCTTGACATTTACTCACGTCAATTCATGACTTCGAGCTCTGTCAAAAAGGGGGCAACTGTAGAAACCCCATTTCTTGACCGTTAGACTTGGGGTCAGGTGATCACTTGGTGTGAAGGCTGTGATATGGAAAGCGTTCAATCTTCTTCGACAAGGAGCTTCAAACTGCCCAACTATACACCCATTTTGGGACGCAAACTATTTTGACGAAATGATTTTGTACACGCTTTAACCCTTCTTTCAAAATATTTTCTTTGACTAGTTTTTACGATTTCCGAGGCCTCGCATTGTCCGTTAAATGTTGCCATTTTTCAAGTAACCCGCACGCTCAAGACAAACGCTCGGAAATATCTGAAGAGAGGTGAACTCCTTGGAAAAATGTTTAAACATCGTCATTTATAGGGTTGGCAGTCTGAGGAAAATAAGAGTGAAGGGAAGAAACTAGTTGAGGAGAGCTTTAGGCATCAATCCGGTTAGGACAACAACTGAGAAAATCTTCGAACATAAAAACAATAGGAATATCTTTTTACACAACTTGTTAAATTTTGAATCTGTGAGGCTTCACACTTCAGAAATAAGAACTTCGGAGCTTCAAATTTAAGGCTTAATAATGGACTGCTAAAGGAGGTCCGGGATGCAGCGAGAATATGCCATTTGACAGTTGGACTGGCAGAGCTGATTTTTCTGGCCAGGCCAGTGGTGGAGTTTGCTTGGGCCATGGATGGGATTGACAGCCAGTATGGCATGATGGGCTTTTTCTTTCGTAGCCACCGTGTCGTCGAAGGGTGACTCTTGTCGCCACTAATGGTGGCGTCGGTATATATAGTGACAAAAAGTAATTTTTTGTGCAGATTTTTCAATCCAGCTGTTACACTGCTCCAGCTATCCTATATGGATCATTTTTGACCTGAAGCCATTATATTTCTTAATATATAGAGGACTTCTCTATTTGTTTTCAAGGTGGAAAATTTTGCGGAGCTCTCCTCTCCTCTATAATTCTCTCTCTAGATTTCTTTTCTCTGCAACTTTTGTGCATACAAGTAGAGATATGCTTCTACGTTTGGCCTATCAACCTTAATCAAAGCTTCTTCAATTTTGGACTGAGGTTACTTGGGAGCCCTCTTTGAGCTCTAGAAGGGGATCTTGGCTTGATTTAGTACCTCATTTGTGCCTAGAATTATCCTTTGCTTCACAGGAAGGTATAACACTTGTCCTTTAAGCTTGTTTTGCCATCTTTTCAAACCTATTTTTGGCTGATTTTGAACTCGTAAAAAACTCGTTGTTTGTGGCCTAAAAGTGTTAGTTTGAGGCCATTTTTCAATAAGGGGTGGTTCACGCTTCTTGCTTATTTTCTTGCAAAGGCGTTTGTGTACCATTTTTCATCATTTCAACACTTTTTTTAGACCTTTTTAGACCAACTGAATTTTGCATAAGTTTGTTAGTAGCAAAAACCTTATTTTGAAGTCCAAAGTTCGAGGGGTTAGCCTTCCCTCCGTGCGTCTTGATTTGCATGCCTAATTAGCCTCATGCTATTAGCCTTAATGTTTTAGCTTTTTGTGGTCAAGTCCAGAAAAAAGAAAAGCCAAAATGTGATTAAGTCTCTACTACCTATCCACCATTGTCATTGTATGCTCCTCTCTATATATATACATAATCTTAGTTTTCTCGTAATAATTTTCTTCTCTGCAGAAAAAAATTATAATAATTGGTTGGCTAGTTTGGTTGGTACATAGTTATAAAATTGTGGCGGTGACGATGTGCGACGGTGGGCGTTGGTGAGCGGGCGTGAGGTTTTGGTGGTGCTGTTCTGTAGAGGAAGAGAGAGAGGAAGAGAGAGAGAAGAGAGATGAGAAACTTTTCTTCTCTTTCTTTTCTGTTTATCGTCAGTTCTTTTGTTAGCAGGTGTTG